ATATTATATATATTATATATACACATTTTAAAAAATTGAAAAAGAATTTGATTTTGCTCGCATGTTGCGTTGCATTCTGTATGTGATAAGAATTTTTTCAACATTTGTTGGTACAATACGTTTATATATACATATGTATATATGCATAAGTATACAATATATGAAAAAGAGTGTATTTTTTATCAAAAATAATTAATCTATTCAAATTTTAACACGCTTGTTAATTCTGTTATTTTTTTACAGTTAGAACTTATAACATATATATAGTTAATTTTTTAGCCAAATAAATATTAAAGCGATATATGTGGCACAGCAGAGACCTAAGTGACCAACTGAGCATTACGATTGCCTTGAACAAAATAAAAACTAATTGAGGATCAGTTGGCAATTATATTCAGCCATAACTGCATTGTTGAAGAAATAATAGTTTATCATAGATATAACACCTTTTTTTATATTACTGCAGTTGTCCACCAGATGACGCTAAATACTGATTAAACTTAGAAGCTACTTTATCTACGAAACTTCTTCATATGTGCAAGCGGCTTATATAAAACATAATCACATCGCTTAAAATATGAATTTGTGACATATTTATCCTTTAAAATATATAATCTTACATGTGAATGTAGAAAAAGGATTTAAAATATACGCATTTTTAAATTTGAATATTTAAATTTTTAGGTTGCCCAATGGAATCTTTCAATTGTGATGACTGGGACAAGCGTTATAATAGCAATAATTGCGTATTACTTTCGCAACGTTGCGATGGGATAAAACACTGTCCTAACGGAAAGGACGAGCTCGACTGCAATATGCTTCTAGAACATATGAGTTCAAACGATGTATGTGCGATGAGATAGTTATACATTTACTAAATGACTTAATATCTAATACATGGGTCACTGAAAAGTAACGCATAGTCGCACATAACTTGTAAAGAAAAAGAGATATTTGAATGAAATGAAAGTGCACTTTGTTGACTACAAGAACGTACCATTATTTTTAACGCGTAATCATCATTTACAATTATATTCTTCCCAACGGTGAATCAGTTTTCTCATTCGGTTAATAAAGAATTCCGGCGACCTTTCCTCGATCCACGACTTTACTGCGTCCTTCATTATCCGTAGTAAAATAAATACCCTTAAGAGGTACCTCTTTATATTTGGAAAGATGTAAAAACCGCAAGGCGCCAAATCTGCCAGCTCCCGATGGACGAAATTTTATTGCACACTTATATTCGTTTCAATTAACGGTTTCATCACTATGCGGCTTGTAAACGACGATGAATGTCATTAGGATTCATTTTTCGGATGATGAACTGAAAGAAACACAGTGGAATAAGAAAAGACCACCGGAATTCTTCATCGACCGAATGAGAAAACTGGTTCACCGTTAGGAAAAATATATAGTTGTAAGTCGTGACTACGTTGAAAAGTAATTAAAGAGTTTTTTTAGCCAATAAAGTGCCTTTTTTGTTTCATTCGAATATCTCTTTTCGTTGACGAGTTATGTGCGACTATACATTACTTTTCAGCCAAATCACGTAATGTAATAAATTATGATAAATATTTTCCAATTTATCTTTCTATATATATATACACATATATATATATATATATATTATTTCGATTATAGATCTTTGCGGTTGGTTATACTCAAGGATACTTACATAAGAATGTACGAGGAAAATGGCATCCCGTTTGCTCAAAGACATTATCTTGGGCGGTGGATGCTTGCGAATCGGAAATTGGTTTGCCGCTAACGTATGTCATCGATAAACGCAATTTTAATTTTTAATTTAATTGTTAATCATACGCATTTATAATATATTTATATACATAGATATTTAACTTTATCCAAGCCAAGAAACGTTTTCATCGATATTATAGACAACAAAAATATATAAAGAGATAAATGTGGGTGATAAATTTCAGTAATTATCATTTTTATTACTAGATTTGTATCCGACATGTTTGACAATGTATCTGACAATAGGGTCGATTATTTCTTGCGTATACCTATATTCATATATCGACGACACTTATCGCCGATATATGATACATTCTTTTGATCTTTATCACCTCGAAATTGAAACTCAAAGGGTCTCAATACAAAAATGGTCGAAACTGAGTCATAATGTCGTAAAACGTGAGTCGTAATCAGTAACTACATGTATCGACATGCAATAATTACACCAAAACATTGTGCGTTGACTTATAACTACGTATATGTATACGACTCACATTTCTCGTTTCAGTTACGGTCATCTTTGTGCTGAGGCCCTTATTTGTAGACGACATTGTCATCCACATTTTTAAGTTGTTGTCAATTTTTGTCGGCAACAGTCTCACAAAATGTAATTAAAACCTAAATATAAATTTCACAATTTTTTAAATTCAAAATTTTATTTTGTAGAAAACGCTATTTCCAAAGATATTTTATTCTATCTGAACGAAGCATTAGTTATACTTTTAAAAATACAAAAAAATACTTACTAATAAAATTAATTAAATCTCTGTATATTAAAAAGGTATATTTACAATTTATTAATAAATTAATGCATCTTTACAGAACAATGCCAGAAATACAAATTGTTCGTATGTCTAAGATCTTTCAAAATCTTTACGTGATAGAATCCGACAATAATGATATAAAGATGACATCATGCCCGGGCACAGCAGTATTTGTCAAATGTCCGCCGATACCTTGCGGCACCAAAGCCCTTCCACGTCAGAACTTCTCTCCCGCCTTCAACACGACGAAGAATAATTACATGTCTAGAAGACATATGGAGGAACAATCCCCCTTGAAAATTGCGGGATTTAATAAGCTGTACCAGGAGACATTGAGGCTTCTGAAGCCGAATCAGTTCATGTCCGAGAAGAAGATGCAAAAGCAGATCAATGATACCCTCGTCGGATCGCAATTGCGAGTAGTCGGCGGCCGAGCAAGTCAGCCTAGAGCTTGGCCTTTCCTGGTCGCTATTTATAAAGACGGTTTTTTCCATTGCGGTGGTGTCATCTTAAGTGAAGTTTATATACTGACCGCAGGCCATTGTATGGATGGGTATGAGCATTTTCAAAGACTACTTGGACATACGTACAACGAATATATCGCAGATACAGACGACGCTAAATGATAGTATTTCTTAAGCGCAGATATTTTTCTTATCGATTTAAGATGTTTCTGCTAATAATTTTCAGATATGAAGGGCATTATTACGAAATACAAGCCGGTATACTCAGACGGTTATCATTTTCACCAATGGCACAGTGGAGAAAAGCGAAATACGTAATGATTCATCCAAATTACGTAAAAGAAGAAATGCAGAACGACATTGCAGTAATCATGTTGAACGAATCTCTCTTTTTCAATCGATGGATTCGCCAGGTTTGCTTACCAGCGTCAAATACCGTGGGTCCTGAATGGAAAGTAAGCCCATCGCCGCAATCCATGTGTATTGCTATTGGATGGGGATCTACAAAAGAGGATGGACCAGATCGTAAGCTCGATTTTTTTTGGTAACCAGAACAATTTATATTTAATATAAGAACAATGTGTACATGCAGCAATAATTTAGCACATATCAAAATATTGTTTAAAAAAGATAAGAGATATTTGATTCTTTACGTTTAGAATAAAACATCCTGTATAATTGCAGCTATATGTATACGAGTATGAACAACAGCCTCAAGTCCCGTGTTTTTAATTTGTTCCACCAAATCGACACAGTTGATTTTTGTTTTATAATATAAACAATGATAAATAAACTTTATTTTCAAATCTTTTTGAAAAAGTCGAGGATTCATAAAAAACTCATTTTTTAAACACTTATTTATTTATTTTCATGCATTAGTCACTCAACTCAAAACTTCTGTTACATTTGCTTTTTATTTCGTTTTAGCGGATCATTTGCGAGAAGTAGTAGTGCCGATTCTATCATCGTGTAAGCATTCGGCTGATCAGAATAACGCTACAATCTGCGCAGGATATCCTGCGGGTGGCCACGATGCCTGTCAGGGCGATAGTGGTGGTCCTTTAATGTGCAGGTAATAATTAATGAAAACAAAGCATTGAATATTTTTACAACTACAAAAATCTTTCTTGCAGAAATTTAAATTTAGAATCACAATGGTACGCGGCGGGCCTAATCAGTCATGGTGACGGATGCGGACGTCCTGATGAGCCCGGTGTTTACATGAAAGTGAGTTATTACGTAGATTGGATTCTGCAAACGTTTAAAATCTTAGGTAAGTCTTACTTAACGAAAAATACGAAAATGTTATAATAGAAAATGCCTTTTCTATATGAGCTTGTGTTTACTATTTAATTTTAATAACATATTTTATTTTGTAGATAATCGTGTGGCATCTCTTTATGGGAATAAACCCTTAGATTCGTGTCCAGGATTTAGCTGTCATTCGAGCATAGAAAAGTGTTTGCCGATAAAGAATCATTGCGATGGAATTGTAAATTGTCTAGACGCAGAAGACGAAATCGAATGCCAAATTCTGAAAGCAAATTATGCGAAATACGGGAATTCCAATGATACATTCATAAAATCACAAGCTAAGGAAGTATCCAGTGATATCACAGAAAAAAATGGTAAATTATGCTAATCCCTTTTATGATAGTCAAGCCTCGGATTCTTAATGAAATAATAGAAAATTAATTTTATATTATAATACCAGAATTTAATCGATTTTTATTTTATAGAAGTGAACACAGAAGCAATTCCTATTTCTACTTCTTCCTATTTCTTCTATCAGACAGAAACGCAGACTTACAATAACGAAAATTCAAATATCGTAGATACCTACGAGACTACGCCTGAAATAACGATGTCGAACGTTAGATCAACATTTACCTGCACAGAGTGAGTTACGAAATATTATAATTTTCAGTACTAATCCTCCGAAGCTGACACTGGATTTGTACGACCCATTTAATTTATATTAATTAAAAGACGCTTTCAATTGATTTCAAGGAATCAAAATGGCATAACTCGTATAAAAATTAATAAATACTAATTGCAAGTATATATTTTAATAATAATAATCCAAATTTGCATATGTAACAAAAAGAAAATTTAATTAATTGTTTAACATTTTTGATAAAGAGATTTATAATTAAGTAGGTCCAATAAATCCGTCGTCGACTCCGAAAGGTTAAAGGCGAGTTAATTAAGACTTAATTAATTTTAAAAAATCAAAGTGGCATCATAACTTGTATAAAAATGAATGAATACTAAATATATTTTAACAAGTATAATTGCATACAACAAAAGAAAAATTGAATTATTTAACATTAGAATTAAGACTTAATTAAAATTCAGACTTTTGAATCAAAAATGTTATCTCATTTTCAGTCTAATCCAAACTATAAAAATCAATAAAAGGTGCAATAAACACTTAGACTGCGAGGACGGAACTGATGAAGAGGACTGTACATGTAGAGATTATCTGTTGAATTTTCAACCCACGGCGATTTGCGACGGACATCTGGATTGCGACGATGAAACAGACGAAAAAGATTGTGGTATATTCAATTATACATATTTTCGCCGTTAATTTCGCCTATCTAACGAAACGATCGTTTCAGGTATTTGCAAGAATAACGAGTTTCATTGCAGTAGGAGTGGGGATTGCATTTCGATAACGAAAAGGTGTGACGGAAATTTCGATTGCTCTCTAAGCGAGGACGAGCTTGACTGCAGTAAGTTCGTGTTTTGCATAATGTTTGCTTTAAAAAATTGTCAAGTGAAATCGGTAGCAATATTCTTTTTTCAGTTGCATTGACGAACGGGGAATACGTTAATGTAGATAGTGATAGTTGGTCCGTTTTAAACACAGAAGGTTTGCTTAGTAGATATTACAACGAAACATGGCATGTAGAATGTCCTCAAGCAGATATATTGGAGAATAATACAAAAACGTCGATAATAGGAGAAAACCTATGCAAATATCTCGGATTCACGTACGTTTGATTTTCAATAAATGTTCAGCCATTCAATGAAAGTCTAATATTTAAATTAGTTGTTTAAGAAATCCTCTATTTAAAAAATCTTGGAGAAATAAAAGAAACGTTTTAGTTTTTACAACTGTCGTACTAAAAATAATTAAAAATATGTACAAAATATCTTATTATCTCGTACGTTAAGTGAATCAAACATATCACTTTTAAAACTTATTTAAAAAAAAAACTAATTAAAATAATGACTTACGTTGTTTCTGAAAAATAAATGAGAAAAAAGTTTTGTAGATATTACATAGTTTCTTAATTAAGAAACTCTAATATTAATGTAATGACAATAGACCTTTAAGAATTTTATAAAATAACGGATTGCAGTTTACAAAAAAAAGATATTTAACTTTATTGTTAAAAAAATAACACAATTCTTAAAAAAAAAAACAACTTCGTAACATTGAATTCCAGTATGCTAAATCGCTGAAGTAATTCATTGTTGAATATATTTTTACAAAGATATAATATAAGGAAAATGTAAGTCATTATAAATTACGAGTCTCTATTTCTCATGTAAATAACAAATCTGTAGATCCAATATGTTGGAAAAAAATGCTTATAATTAATGTGATTCGTTAAGACATCTATGTATCTACTTCTCCTTTCAGGTTCTTCTAAATCCCTTAATATCTCAAGTTCGAACAAAAATTTACTTAAAAAGTTTCTAAAAAAAAAATGATCGATTTATTTATTCAAGTACAATTTTCCAAATACGTTAATTATTGCTATTCTCGATAGTACATAATAAAAAAATAGTAATTATAGAAGACATGAATTGTGTGCAGGGGTTTGCAATTATTGGATAAGGCCGTTGTGAACAAAACGATACTAGAAACAAGATTCTCGCGGAGGTGGGACAATACGATGGGTTATAAACCTTTACCACAGCATGTTGCGGAGAGTGAGGGAAGCGAGACGTGTACGACGTTACGGTTTCGCTGTAGACCGGTTTTAAGCAGCAGTGCCGACTCGCATGTGGTCATCGATCCGAGAACCGGAAATCATACCTACCTGTGGCCGTGGTTGGCGGCCATCTTCGTCGACGGCAGTTATCACTGCTCGGCCTTACTCCTGGAACTAGACTGGCTTTTGTCCAGTTCGAGCTGCACGGAAGCTATCAGGTAAGTCTAAGTCCTGTTTTATTCAAAATACTTTCTTATCTCAAAAATGCACGCATGGAAAGAAGAACAGTTTTGTGCTCGAAATATAAAAATTTAGCTAAATAGAGAAGATCTAAAAATAACTTTGAATCATTTATAATTAACAATTATTAAGTTTATACTGATTGCTAGAATACCCTCTTTGCAGTATTGTTAATCGCATGCTTGAGTTCTTTATATAATTATTTTGATATCTAAAATTATTTATAGTTTGTGTTAATCTATTTTTAATTAAATACTTCAGCAAAATCATTCTTTCCATTCATCTGTCAAGCGTAGATTATGTACAATTTAATCGTTCTTCATTACAATTATTTTTCATCAGATTCTCTTGATTGAAATATCAGTGAAGAGATGTAATAATGAAGGATAAATTGTAGATTATCAGAGAATTATACGACAGCTCTGCTCGGCCAAAGTCGCTCGTTTCTCTACGTGGACGGACCTCATCAACAGATATCGATCATTGACGAAATCAGGGACGTGGAAAGAACAAATGTCTCGTTGCTTCACTTGAAAACTGCAATAAATTTTACACGTTACGTGCAACCGCTGTTTTTAGAGAAAAAGTGTGTACATTGGTTATTCATCCGTTATCACATAAATATTGTCTTCTTTCTTTCTTTTATAACTATTTGTTAAATTTTCGCAGAATATATCCACCGGCAAAAGACGATTTATGTGTAGCAATCGGTACAGACAACGAACACGTGACACAATCGATCTTTCTTCAACCAATCCTCCAAAATTGCGACAAGTGCTATCGTTGTTTCGTAGAAGCTTTAGGCACTAAATGTCCGGTAAAGTTTCATAATAACAATCGAACTACGATTATTTTCACTCATTAACTGACAATGCAAAATATGCAATCAAATGGCGATTTTATCTTTTGTATGTATTTAGACTAATGGAACTTCTTCGAATTGGAACGGTACGGTGTTTTGTCGCAGCGAGAAAGGATGGTATCCCGCGGCTGTATTTCAAGAAGACGACGGCCCATGCAGCTTCAGAAGCACGCGGAACTTGACAAGCATTGATTACATCCATGCTTATCTCACGCAAACTTTGGGTAAGCTATTATGCATAAATATTAGGTCGGGGAAAAAGTTGCTTCGTATTTAAAAAAATTTTTTTGCGAAAGTTTTTCATTTGTTGCAAAATTTTTGTTACAATTATATCATTCGTTAAAGCAAAGTTTCAGCTTTAAGAATCTGTTTTTTAAATTGCGGTATGATGATTTTTATCGGAGCATTTTATATGAGCAATCAAAGTTAGAATGCTCCTTTACTTAATTAGCGAATAACTCAGTAACAAAAAATCATAGGAACATTTAAAAAAAAAAGATTTTGTAGGAAAAGCTTCAAGCTTTCACGGTTGGCAGTCGAAAATTTTCGTAAAATTTTTTTTTTTTTTTTTTTTGAACACGTGAGAGACCCTCAAAGCGAAAAGAAAATTTTTAATCTTTTTCAGTTCGTAGTTTTTTAAATGTAAAAATTACCAAACTCACAGAAACTCAAAAAATACAGTAATCTTTCGAAAGTACAGATTTAAAGCTTTAAACCCCTTTTTTTAAATTTAAATTTCGTTCATTTTTGACAAAAATATTGTATACATAATTTTGAATTAAAAAATATGAAGAAACTTTTTCCCCGACCTAATATAAAGGCACATTTACACCATTAATTTTTAATTATCCAATTAACTTTACGTCGATTGTATTTTCACAATGACCGGAACAATGAGATAATTTAACGTGATTGAACTTTTCCATGATGATACTGCAGAGAAAGTGTCGCGACCAACGCCTGAAGCCGCATGTGACGGTGTTCGGTGCAACATTGGACAATGTATCCCTTGGAATCAGGTATGCGACGGTGTGATAGATTGCCGAGACGGTGCGGATGAGAAGAATGCAATGTATTTACAAGTGCAACAGATTAGAAGAAGAAACGAGACCAATAGTAGTAAATCATTTTCAATAATGTAGAATTAAAAAAAATATACACAAATAAATTTTTATAGTTATTGCAACTGCATGTGCAATAATTCTACATACATATAAATTACTTATGTAATTCTTACTTATATAGTATAGTTGCTGCTATTATGTTTTTCTCTAAGCAGAATTATTAATTACACAGGTCTGCAATTTGATTTGTTTTTTGTGCTGTTTTGAACTTTTGAGAAAAATGAGGTGAGAGAAACGCCTGAAAAACGTGTTTCTGACTATTTTTGGCTATTTTTGAAAATTCATAGCTGACTAACTCGATCTGCGAGAGATTTCAAAAAGGGCTCGAATTAATGATTGGATATTGTACTTTAAAAGAATAATATCGAATCTTTTACAGCGGGCGTCAAACCTTTGACGCGTCCTATTTTTAAAAGTGTAACGCGTTGTATTTAGATGTTTCAACCTCACTTTTCTCAAAAATCTGATAGAACATTTTCACTTACGGATTCAACGCATCAAAAACTGTGAGAAATTATTCTAAACAGCAAAAACCATGCAGGCTTGTTTTATCAAATCTATTAGCTTAATTTTTATTTAATTGTTGATTAATTCTTCTTTGTGCACATGTTCTTAAAATGCATTTTTGTGTAGAATGCGCCAAGTCGGAGATACAATGCGGGAATGGTGAGTGTATCTCGAAGAGCGCATTTTGTGACGGAAAAGTGGATTGCTCGAACGGAGCGGATGAGCCTGTAATATGTAGCTGCGCAGAATATTTAAAATTAACTATGCCAGAACGATTGTGTGACGGGGTACGACATTGTCTCGATAAAACCGACGAATCGCCAGAAGAATGTCAATGTACCATTACCAGTTTCAAATGCAATACGTAAGATTGATAATATTAAGTAATTATCTATAAGAAGCATTATATAAGCCTGCACTGGATATCAATGTAAAAAAGATTAATTTTTAAAAACATTGCTTTAATAATAAAATAAAACATAATAAACGTCATTGTTAAACGTTTCGATCTCATATTAGGTCATCCTCAGTATAACTTTACATATTCAATTAATTAAATTAAAACTTATGTATATGTTTGTAAATTATTACAATAAATTCAAATCGCGCTCACGCTCTTTTTGTAAAATTTGATTTAAGCCTAATGTGGCAAGTCATTAAATTAAAATTGTGATTAAATCGCTCATATATATTCTCTCGTCATGCAAGTCGATGATATATTATGTAGTCTTAAACACTAACAATAAGTATAAGCATATTTAGGTCCTGTGACGGTCAAAGCTAGATCTTTTTTGCCTAAATAATTCCCAGTGAATTATCTATACCCTATATATATGTACATGCATATATATATATATCATATTTTTGTAGTTATTCAAACTGCGCGCCGAAATTTTTCCGGACTTTATCTAACGCAAGTAAACTACTGCAATAATATCACAAGTTAAATTAAATTGACAATGTGCTGAAAACCTTAAATAAATTTATTGCGAAAAATATTACCTCGGCCGAGACTTGAACCTGGATTTCTTGTATTCCGTACGAACGTCCTAAGCAAAAAAGATCTAGCTTTGACCGTCATAGGCCTGAATACGCTTATAGTTTAGCTTATAGTGTTTAATTCTTGTCGGTCCGAATAAAATGTTATTATTGGTTAAGTAGTCTTATTATGAGCTTTCGATTGTTCTCTTACATTGATATCAAATCTCAATAATTATTATGTTTAGGCAGTTCTCATACAATTTCACTTCTACATCATGATACGACAATCGAATGTAAAAGATATTTTTTATCTTAACAGTTAATATAGGAAACATGAATCACATTTTAAGAAGTATCTTTAAGTTTTATGCATTATAGTTTACTCACTTAGTATAAATAATACACTTAATATACATAATATTTTGAAATTAGATTGTGAGGAACCAACTTAAAATTAATAAATAATTAATAAATTAATAAATAATTGTTATATAAATTGAAATCGATAACACAATAAATGTATGCACTTATTTCATTTATAAATTTTCTATCTGTACTTTTGCCAAAACTGTGTGTCGTTCTCAAGTCTCTTAATTAAACATACAGATTATAATGGAAGAATTTTTTTACTTATATTTAGTTGTCTATAACCCTACCAAAGTTGATAATATTAATATATGCCATATAAAATGTCCCTCATATCTTTGATAGCACTTTAGAAAATATTGCTGAATAAATGACAAATCTTGTAAAAATTATTACAATTAGTAATTATATATGTATGTACAAATGTACATTATATGTGCAGAGAAAGCAAAAATGTTACTTGCATCTCGCAAGATTTCGTGTGCGATGGCGACAATGACTGTCCGAATGGCGAAGACGAAACGAATTGCAGAGGGGTACAACAACTCTCAGATGACAGGTGAGACTTGACTGAAATGAGCTGTGCCATCATTGCTATACGGATGATATACAATGTTATTAAATGTTGACAAAATGGAGCAATGAACATACGTTCACTATAACTATGAATTTATTTAATTGCTTCTCAGACCTGCTGCAGGCGAAGTGATGCAACGCTCTTATGGTGTATGGCATTCTCTATGTTATCCATCGGAAGTTACGTCGCAGGAGGAGGCAGTAAAAGTGTGCAGAAATAGCAGTTACACGAATGGAATTATCGATTACAAATATCAATCGTTTAATCAGCCTGCTGTTCCATCTCGCGATGATTTTTACATGATACGATTAAATTCGAACACGTGGATAACCATGCGTGACGATAAACCCCTTATAACTCTGGTTCGACCAGAGAAACCCTGCTACCGTCTCTTCATCAAGTGCAGCAATTAATATAAATGTATTGCTTACAAATTAAATCAATCATGTTAAAATAATTTCACTTCTACATCTTGTTCAACTTAATATAATAATTTCACTTCTACATCTTGATGACATGAAAATCGAATGTAAAAGATATTTTTTATCTTAACAGTTAATATATAGGAAACATGAATCATTTTAGGAAGTATTATTAAGTTTTATGCATAATAGATTAATTTATTCACTTAGTATAAAAATTATAATGTACGACTAAAACGAATTAATTACATTTGAAATAATTTTTTTGTAATCTAATAAATAAGTTTGTTACTCTTTGTTTGTATCTTCTGAGATAAAACATTAAATAAATCTATGTGTAAAAGAAAGATATTTTCTATAACTTGTATTTTTGTTTTTATTATCTACTGTTTCATTAAATTTTATACATTAGAGATTAATTTCGATTAATATCAAAATTACAATGTACAAAACGAATTAATTATGTACATTAGAAATAATCTTTTTTTAATCGAATAAATAATAGTTTATTATTCCTTGTATGTATCTTTTAATAAAATAATAAATATATATAAATTTACAAAAAAAAAGATATTCTCTCAAATTTATAATTTCATAATTTTAATTGTCATATATACATATACCAATGACAAAAAAATATTGTTTGCAAAATTTAACACTTTCTGCAAATATATCCTCGATATCAATGTATTAAAAATTAAAGTTTTAATTGAATTGTCCTTAAAGTTTGCTATCTGACAATAAAAGAATCAGATAACTGAGTAATGAAATTTTCACGTTCGAGAAATATGATAGCGTTGATCAAATTTTTTAGTACCCCGCGATACATAACCGCTTCGAACACATGCACGTGCGTCACGTAAGAAACAGCGCGAATTAGTCACTACGGGAATGTGAATGGATACCGTTTTCCGTCATTCCGTGGTATTCGAAAGCAACTTGCCAGGAGGAGTCAGGAGAGCGCAGTCGTTTGCCTCCAACGGCAGCGACCTCATTCGCTACATTCCATTTCTCCTTTTCTTCTTCTTCATTCTATGCTCGAGTCGATTGCGTCCTCGTCTGTCCGTCTTCCATCGTCCCGAGTCCCGACAGATTTGCATGCTGCACCGGCTTTGTTCAAAGTCCATTTAAAATCTAATTAACGTTATCGTTTAGTTTCCTTGAATTAATAGTTTGACAAATGACTCTCGCATTAATATTAAACATAAATACATAGGAAAATATTTTCTACTTGCAAAAGAGAGAATAACGTATGTACATTATATTTTACTTGAGTATAAAGAAATAAAAAATCTCGTATTATATGAAGAAAAAAGAAAAATATAAGATTTTATATAAACAATTTATACATAAGCTTTTCAGTAAATGCTGTATAACAAAATTATTAAATATAAAATTATAATTTTTTTGTTTTTGATATAAATGTATATTATCTATACTTTTTGCTGCTTACATTTTTCTCAATTAGTATACCTACTTTACGTGCCGTTTTTTACTTCAAAAGCAACCGCCCGATCGCAGATACGTTGCTCGGCATCGGTGAATTCCCTAACAACAGCCACGCGGAAACTTCTTTCCTGGTTTTTTCGAGCGAAAACGATGGGGATATGAAAATAATAGCTATTTTTCCTCTGCATGCGTCTATATATATTACATTCTACCGAGGCTACGTTGTATTAATCTGCATGTTTTCCTTCCATATGTACCACTTATGGTGTACTATTGCAAATATATCTTATGTATAAAAACATATCATAAATTATTATTTTATCTTGGTTTATGCTTTCTCCGTCAAGCTCAAAATTAGATAATATATTTTTATATTGTTGTCAAAAATTATACATAACTGCATAATTTTTCGACTAAATCGTACTGATAGGCGTACTTTCGATGTACTTTCTGTGTACTTTCCGATAGGTGTAAATTCACGTAAATTTAATTAACATGTATAATTATCTAATTAACAGGAATTGATAAATAAAATAATATATTTTTTGCGGATATCATATTCACGTTACTTATTTTGCATTAAGAATAAATTTATTTCTTGAAATTTATTCATAGGTGATTATTCTTATTTTAAAACCGTCTTAAGTGGATAATGTCTTAAGATATAATGTAACTCTGTGATTGGTTTACGACATCTTGAGACAATATTTAATGGCGAATTCGGCACACATGCACTGACTTCGCTCTAGTGCTGCCCTGACATGGTGCGAGTGTAGAAACACTTTAGTGCTATGCCAAATTGCATTGTCAGAAACGTCAATGCAATATTTCATGAACTCGTTCAGTTTATTCTGTTGGTCCGAATATAAATTCAGCACTACATTGGCTCAGTTTTCATTTGCCGAATACGACAACCTTAACATACTGAGATAGTACGCACAAGCCGAATGCGTGGCACTGAAAAAGTTCGCACTCAGGGCGCACTATTAGTGCGGTCTGACGAATTCGCTACAAAGTTTTTAAATATAAAAACCAATTTTATAAATATCGGCCATAATAGTGCCGTATTCCCAGATAACCTAAGATTTTTTTACTATCCGATCGCGGAAAATGTTAGAAAAATTATGTATTTTAACGTAACCAACAAGTAAACTAAGTTTATAGCGCACTTGTGAACATTATTTAATGAGGTTAAATATCTTTCAGTCATTCACATTGCTTATTAACTCACGCAACCAAGCACGCGAGGCACGTACTTTTTACAGACCGGATGCTGTGCCTTATCGATTGCTTCACACCGGGAGCTCGCAGCAGAATGTCGGTATGATCATGAATATATGTATAACCGTTCATTGAGCTAGAGCAAATATTAAGATAGCAGCGCCAAGTTTTTTGTATTAAATATTTTATAATCTTAAGTTATAAAACAAAAAAGTACTATCATTTAGGATGAAACAGAATTCTTCTTCAGTAGAAAATTGAGAATATATTTACAATTAAGTTGAGTTAGAAAACATTATTTTACACGTATCTTGTTTTAATTAGCGCAATGTTGTGACATCATTGTTTTTTTTTTAAAGAATTAAAATTTCTACCACTTGGATTGGAATATAAGCAATAATAAATGAAAATATATGAAGATACTGAATTTTGTGTTTTAAATATGGCTGTATAACAATTATTTTTCAACAAGAGCGTATACTTGGTACATTTTTTACGTTTTTTAAATTAATAATTTTGTAACAATATAGTTGTTTAGACACATTGATATAAAATCAATCAAAAAGTATAATCACGAAGAAAACTCTATTTTAGATATTTTCTAATATTATACAAAATATTACGTAAATTGAAATATAATTGTGAAATACAATTTCTTGATTGTTTCTTTAAATATTTTTCGAAAAGGGTACAAAATTAGAAAAATTGCAGATCTATTTGTCCAATTTAAAATACAACATACAACATATAATAGCAACTGTCAACTATATCTATATTAACAAACTTAATCGTTGACACAATACTAACTGAATACATGTTAAAACATCACATTAAAACAATAATCATCAGTTTACGGTGCTCTCTTGGACTTACAAGATTGCAATGTATGCTAAAATATTTCCGTTATTAACAGTTTGTTGTGACAATGTTCGTTAGCTATTGTTAACTGTTACATTACAAAGTATTTACCTTAATCGTCTTAAGCCGGCAGCATACGATGCTTGTTTTTCTGCTGGATTGCTAGCTGGATTAGAATCTT